AAAGTAATTAGCCTCCAACTAATAAAAATAAATGAAAAAAAAAAAAAAAGAATAACAGCAAGCATTCTCGGCTGCAAATCCAGCCAACCCAGTGCTAAATCCCTGAAACTGACTTCTGGACTTTGTCCTGGGTCTGCCAAGTGACTGGGTTAACAGACGTATGACTGCACGAGTGCCCAGCTCCTGTGTGAAGTCCTCACCAGGAACACAGCTCCCCTTCTCAGGTGCGGCCCTGCCTTTCATGCAGGGACAAGTCTCTCTTCAGGCTTTGACCCCGTGCTGCTCCGTTCCAAGTTCCTATCCCACCACCATTCCTCCCAGGGCCTCCCTCAGGTTAGTTTTGCACTGGCCTTCTTTAGAGGCCTGGCAGGCTATTTTTGTTGTTTAATCAGGCTGCCTCCTACGAAACAACCCTCTTCAAGACCCAAACACTTGCCCAGAGTTTACATTTTCAAACCTGTTTAAGGGTCAGCCCTTCATAATAGTGACATAGAGTTCTCTGAAGTTAATACAGAAGTTGGGCTAGAAACACACAGTGAAAGTATTGGACTAAAGCAGTCAAGGAAAGAAAGTGGGAAACAGAGGCCCCACCCTCAGTTCAGTTCAGTTCAGTCGCTCAGTTGTGTCCCACTCTCTGCGACCCCCTGGACTGCAGTACGCCAGGCCTCCCTGTCCATCACCAACTCCTGGAGTTCACTCAAACTCATGTCCATTGATTCAGTGATGCCATCCAACCATCTCATCCTCTGTCATCCCCTTCTCCTCCCACCTCCAATCTTTCAAAGCATCAGGGTCTTTTCCAATGAGTCAGTTCTTCGCATCAGGTGGCCAAAGTATTAGAGTTTCAGCTTCAGCATTAGTCCTTCCAATGAATACTCAGGCCTGATTTCCTTTAGGATGGACTGGTTGGATCCCCTTGCTGTCCAAGGGACTCTCAAGAGTCTTCTCCAACACCCTCAGGACCTCTCAGCTGAGGGCTGTGCTCCTCCCTCCCATGGTGCTAGGCAACCTGCCCCCCCCCCCCCACCAGTGCCCTCTGCCCTCCCCACCCTGGCCTGGCTTCCTGCCCATCTCTCTACCAGAAGGAGGGCTGCAGGAAGGAAGCCCAGTCTCCCCCAACAAGTTTGGTGGGAGATGGGCTAAACGCTTCTGAAAAAATGGAAGCCTGGCTAACCACCACCCCCCCACCCCCCAGGTTCCACTGTTGACCTCTGCCCTCAGTACAGCTTGTGGTTCAGCCCACAAGCTCTGCCCTGAGGCCTCCCAACTCCTCACTGCTGGCTCCTTCTCAGGCCTCTCAGCTTTGCCTTTTAGAAACCCTGTTCCATCCCACAACGCTTGTAGCTCTTGTCCAAATCTCCCTCTTCTTCTCACTTCAGCTAAGGAAGGACACAACTGCCCAGTGCCCCTCTGAGGGAGGCTGTTTTCCCTCACACATACAGTTTATTTCAGGCCTGGAAGCCATTGCCGATATTCTTGTAACTTCTTATTGCTGTTTATTGGCTAATGCATATTCACCCTCTAGAAAACAGTCCTTTGAAATCTGGGTTGCTCTTCACACACTATCAGTAACGTTCTGGATTAGTTTCTCTGCTGACAAAAAGCTTAAAATAACAGGGTCTCAAACATATTATTTTAGTAAGTCAAAGAATTCTCAGAGGTAGGCGGTCCAGGGTGGGTAAGTTGGCTTCATGAAGAGTCAGGACGCAGACTGAGTCTCCTCTGGTGCGTTGCCTTTCGTCCTCGTGGCCCAGCTTGTCGCGGTAAGTTTCAGTCAACACCATGGAGTCCCAGGTCGGCTTCCAGAAGGACCCCGGAATGGTCGCTTGGCCACTTCAAGCTGCCAGTTGGAACGGGCAATGCGGTTTTAGAAAATTCTGGGTGACAACGGTTCCAGCTAAAGAACCCAACTCCTGTTGCTGAAGAGGAAGGGGCGGATGGATACCTGGAGGCAGCTCTCCATTACTCCCCTGCCGTCCACTGCGTGCCTGACGGCTGCCTCCCCCTGCCTGTCTTCCCTCAGGCTCTGAGGACTTCGGGCCTGCGTCCCTCTGACTTTGCCACCATCGTGGACCCCTCGGCGTCGGGGTCAGCGAGCCTCTCTCTACGTCATCAGTCCGTGCCGCGCCCCCTCCCTACGTCCACAGCTTGGACCTTGTCGTCCCGGCTCTAAGGTGTGGTCTGAACCCCGCCTGTCACCGTCCCCTGGCTCTCCTGCCTCCCGCCAGTCTGTTCTGGGGCCTCCCTAGCATCGTCATTTCCTCGCCTCCTTGCAGCTGCCACGTTCAGTCTCCTCCCCACGGTCCTGCGGTTCTCTCTCCTCACTCCCAGCCCCCTCCCAGGCCCAGGGCCCAGGCCCACGTCCATCGCAGGGCCAAGGAGAGACCCAACCCGGCTTTCAGGGCAGCTGCCTGCAGTGCTGCTTTTAGCCTCTCACGTGGACGTGGTCCCTCTTTCTCCCATTTGCCTTTCCCACTCTGTGTGTTAGTCGCTCTGTTGTGTCCGACTCTTTGTGACCCCATGGACTGTAGCCCGCCAGGCTCCTCTGTCCGTGGGATTCTCCAGGCAAGAGTACTGGAGTGGGTTGCCATGCCCTCCTCCAGGGAATTTTCCCAATCCAGGGATCGAACCCAGGTCTCCTGCATTGCAGGCAGATTCTATACCGTCTGAGCCAACAGCCCTTGGCTTCCCTAGTTCAATGCTAGCACTTTCCTCAGGTCCTCCCCACACCTGCACCCCCCACCTCAGGAATGACCCTTCTCCCTATTTTTAAGAAAAAGGGTCCTACTGATATAAAAAAAAATAAAAGGGGTCCTCAGGGGTGACTCCTCCACTTTCTGTCCCTCAAGTTCTGGGACCAGACTTTTCCTTCTGTGCCATCTCCTGGTGGAGCTACAGCACCCTGCCTCCGCCGGATTACCACACCTTTGAGTGTCCTGGAGTTCCTATACCTTCAGGCTCGTCTTCACTGGCTTCCTCCTCCCTGAACATAAATATGAGGAGCTCTCCCTCATGTATCTCTGCCCAGAGGAGAGGTCCTCTCACAGCCTGTGGTGTGGGGAAGTCTCCTCTCTCCTTCTCTCCTTCCTCACTCCCACTCATACTATTTCCTGGACACCCACCCTGACAGGCCTCCCCTGGTGACTCCTAGGGGCAGGACTCACTATTAGCCTCACCACCCCACCCCCAATTCTCTGTTCCCTTAGCTTTCCAGGCACCCCTCTTTCTTCAGTCGCCTCTTCTGTATTTCCCAGGCCAGCTGCTTTCCTCTTCCTGTGGGTAAAGGTAATTCATGGTTTTCACAAAATGGGGGCTGACCCCGGGGCCAGGCCCACGTCACAGATCTAACAGATCTAAGGCAGCATCTATGGGACACACCTCACCATCAAGGAAACCTAACACACCACCAATCACAAGTCTCTAACTTGGCTTTAGATTACCTCACTCTAGAAAAGAGCACCTGCTGGCCTTATAAGGACATACTGACCTCCTAGCCAACCGTGCCTTGTTTCCTGTCCTCACTTCTAGGCTCTATAAACCTACTCTTGCCAGAATCCCTGGGGAGGAGGGCTCCTCTGCTGTGAGACACTGCACTCTTCCCACCCCTGGACTGTTTCCCCTTGAACAAAGGACCTCACATTCATTACCAAATTGCTTTGTTATTGATGTTCAGCGGTGTCTTGGAGATGCAAGTTCTCCAGTCTTCCTCCCAGGCCCCTCTGCTCTCTCAGGGGCCATGTTCCCCACCGAGCTCCTTCACACTCAGGGGTTCAGCTGCTCCCTGCATTCCAGCAGGGCTGGGATGAAAGAAGTTTGAAGAAAGCTGAGTTCATCCAGTTCTCAGGCATGTTTGGGCCTGTCCAGGAGTCCAGTAGACAGACTTGCCCAGGTCTATTTGTAAGGGAACCAGGGGGGTCTCCTGCAAAGAACCCAGCTATTGTTTCATTCCCCCATCACAATCGACCAACAGATCTACCTCAACACATAGTCCTGAGCATTCTTGTAGGCACTGGGGGGTCAGAGGGAACTAAACAGATAAAATTTGGGTCTTTGTGGAAATACACATAAACAAGAACAAGTAAGCTATGATGTGAGAAACACTGAGGAGAAAAATTAAGCAGGTGTGGAGGTAAAAGTGTGTGTGTGTGTGTGTATACAGGTGCTGACATCTGAGATGGTATAATTACTGAGACTGCGAGCAAAGACTGAAGAGGGGGTGGGTGGCCACATGCAGGGAGAATATTCCAGGCTGAGGGAACAGCAAGTGCAAAGGTCCTTTGCCTGAGGACTGGAGGAGCAGTGGGAATAAGGACAAGCAGCCCAGAGTCTAGGTCAGAGCATCACCGGCGTTTGTGGGGGGTGGTGGTCATGTTAAGGCTGAGACCACAGGGCTTTGGAAGGACTTAGGTTTTACTCTGAGGTGGGAAGACGAGATTTCAGCAGAGCTCTGCCTGGTGAATGGTTTATTCATGCTACTGTGTTAAGACTGGACTGAAGGGCAGAAACAGGAGGGTCAGTTGGGAAGCTGTGGCAATAACCCAGGCAAGAGATAGTGGTGGCTGGGTCTGAGCTGGGGACACTGGAGGCGATAGGAAGTGGTTAGAATCTTCCTGGGAGTCGAGGGTTGTGCTAACAGAATGATCATGCTTGGGCCCACAGGCTGGATGATCCAGACTCTCGGTACCGATCCTTGTCTACTTGGATCATATCTTCAGATTGCCCAGTCTGGGTGGACTAGAGACTGTGCTTTCCCCTGAAGCAAACTGATATTCTCAGAGTCAGTCATTATGGAAAGATGCTAATATGGGGTAGGATTGGAGGCAGGTTTGGACGGGGGCCAGGGTGTCCATGAGGCTTGCCTCTGCAGGTGTGGAGGTGCTCGGGACATTCCTGGTGATGGTGGGGTGGTGGCGATGGTAGTGATGGGGGCGGGGCGGCGGGCGGGCTGCGTTAGCCCTGCTCTAGCTGGGACCTGGCCTGCTGTGGGTTTTCATCTTTACCTGCTTGTGGAACATTTGCTTTTCCAATGCAGACATCGATGCCATTGCCAGTGGGCCTTGGCCCCAGTGGGTCAGAGCTGGAGCCATGATTCTTGGGTTGGCATCGGGACCCAGGCATGGCTCTGAGCCTGGGTGGTCCCTGGTGAGCGGGAACGAGGAGGGGAGAGCCGTGGAAACCGCGGGGCCGCAGAGGTCTAGTTCAAGAAGTGAGTTCGTATGAGTGAGCAAGCTCAAGCGTTCCTGGGCTGTGTCTGAGAGGAACTGGAGTTCCCCGGGAGGCGGGGAGATGCAGGCCGAGGAGGCCGTCCTGGTGACTCACTGTCATGCTCCTTTTCACTCCAGACTCCTGTTGCCTGGGAAGCGTGCCTTCTAGTCAGCTGACTCCTGCTGTCTCCCCAGGCCAGCCTGCTCTCCGGTACCCACACCTCTGGGCACCCTGGCTTCTGGCATCCGAGCTCTCAGACCCGGCGTGTCCTGCCTTGCTGCCCCCTCTCTCTCCCGCTCTCAGTGTCCGGGGCAGTGACCCCCTACCCCCCGGCCAGCCGCCCCGCCAGAGCCTGGAGGGCAGCCCAGCTCCCGTCACACCCAATTCATCATCGGCTCCGAGTGTCACCTGCTAGACACCGCTCGATCCCCTTGCCTTTCTTTCCACCCTCGCAGCAGCCCTGGCCACGGTCCTGGGGTGGCCCCTGTCAGGTTACTCTCCCGGTCATGTCCTCCTTCCCATCCTCCTCACCCCAGGGTCCCCAGAGTGCCTCCGGAGTCGGGTGTCCGTCCTGCTCTCCCTGGGTCTGTGGCTGCCCCTCACCCTGGGGACTGCAGGGCACATGAGGCCTGGCCACCTGTCCAGCCTCTCTGAGCACTGCGGGGGTGGGGAGCGGGGAGGCTATGCCCAACATCTAAACAAGGAGGAATTTCCGCCTCCCTATAGCCCTTGTAGCTCAGTGGGTACAGAATCACCGGCAGTGAAGGACACCCAGGTTCGATCCCTGGGTTGGGAAGATCCCCTGGAGGAGGGCATGGCAACCCACTCCAGTATTCTTGCCTGGAGAATCCCATGGACAGAGGAGCCTGGTGGGCTACAGTCCATGGGGTTGCAAAGAGTTGGACAAGACTGAGCGACTACACTTTCACTTTTAAGGGAACTGTAAGGAAGGAAGAAGCAGTCCCCACCCCACCCCCTGCCCCTCCCACCGCCACCCCACCGACCCTGTTCTCCTGGGGCTGGAGGGGGCTCTTTGTGACCCAGGAGGAAGAACCCGGAACCCTCAGCCAGTTGTTTCCCTGTTTGTCCTGTAGAAACATGCATTCAGTGCATCTGCCAGTGTTTATTGACTAGGTTGGGATTCACTTTGGGAAGGGGGAAGCCTGTGGTTTTAGGTAGTAAGAATCCAGTTTAGGGGGGAATCCTTAGAAGGCCCATTACCTCTAGAGTACTGTCTATTATTCCCCTAAGTGAAGTGAAAGTCCCTAAGTTGTGTCTAACTCTTTGCAATCGCATGGACTACAGCCCCCCAGGCTCCTCTGTCCATGGGGATTCTCCAGGCAGAAATACTGGAGTGGGTTGCCATTCCCTTCTCCAAGGGGTCTTCCCAGCCCAGGGATTGAACCCAGATCTCCCACATTGCAGGCAGATTCTTGACCATCTGAAACACCAGGGATGTCCATTATTCCCCTAAAGCCCTAGCCAAACCAGGGTCTTTCACACCTCCGGGCTTCAGCATCTGCTCTTCCCTCCCTGAAATGGCTCATCCTTCTTGTGGCAATTTCTCTCTTGTTCCCAGGCTCCCTCAGGCTCTGCATCAGCCATGGGGTCTCCCCAACCCACTCCTGCGCTCCAGTGCTCCTTCTCCAGGCGTCCCCCAACCTGGGTGCCTTCTAGTCTCTCAAGTACCTAATTCTACTGCAGTGTTTGTGCCTAATCCACTCCCTTGCTTCCTTTTCATTTTTGTATCCCTTGCTCCTAGCACAGGGTCTGGCCTACAGTATTTTGCTTGGTAAAAGTCTGCTGAAGGTAATTCAGTTCAATATAGTGTATTCCACGTATATGATGTTCTAGGCACTGTAAGGCAAGCATTGGGAGACAAGATGAATAAGCTGGGGATCTTAAAGGTGTGCAGTCTACTGGAAAAGTGCACATTCTTGCAATTAAGTCATTATCAAGTGATACGGAAAGTCTCACATTAAGTCTATGAACAATGCAGCTCCTGGATAAAGAAGTACTGGATCTGGAGTAGAGACTGGACTTAAATTTGCCAACTGAAAACAGTCACTTGCCATCTGCCTCTACAAAGACGAAGTCACTAGCCACTGTGTTCTCTGACTTTTAACACATCCTAAGAAGAGTTTAGGGTGGACACTAGGAATGAGACACTCTCTGCCTAAGAAACACTGGCAGAACAGACTTTCAGATAGATATTTTCAGAAAATTTTATGAACTGTAAAACTTGCATCTTCTCATATCTAGAGAAGCACTAAAATTATTTATAGAGACATCTGACATAGAGACAGCAAGTTTCTGTCAAAATGTGTGCTTGATTGCATGTATACTCCCTTGACCAAAATCACATATATACTGACCCCACCACTACCTCTTTGGAGCAGTTCCTCTGAGATATCTGAGATGCTATCTCTCAGGCTATAGTCCTCATTTTGCCCCGAATAAAAGTTAACTCACAAATCTCACATGGTGCATAATTTTTTCAGTTAACAAATTCTAGCTCCGTAACCCCCTAGCCTCAGTTTTCCTAGTTTTAAAATGGGAATAATAGTACCTATCTCCATAGGTGAAGGATAAAATGAGATGATACAAGTCAAAACATCCTGCATAGTTCCTGAGTTTCCCCAGGCGGCTCAGTGGTAAAGAATCTGCCTGCTAATGTAGGAGACACAGGAGATGCTGGTTTGACCCCTGGGTTGGGAAGATCCCCTGGTGTAGGAAATGGCAAACCACTGCAGGGCTGCAGTCCATGGGGTTGCAGAGAGTCAGACGCAACTGAGCATGTGCACACACACACAGAGTTACTGGGCACACGACATACATCCAGTTAACATTTGTAGAATTGTCGCTGCTTCTAGAAGCTTTAATTTTGCCTGGGGCTGTTGTGCAGGCTTTGCAGAGGGGTGACACTGCACTAAATTCAGAGAAGTGAAGAGTGAAAGGTGCTCAGTCGCATCCGACTCTTTGCGACCCCATGGACTATTCAGTCCGTGGAGTTCTCCAAGCATACTGGAGCGGGTAGCAGTTCCCTTCTCCAGGGGATCTTCCCAACCTAGGGATCGAACCCAGGTCTCCCGCATTGCAGGTGGATTCTTTACCAGCTGAGCTATCAACAGGGAGGCTGTAAACTGCATTTCTGGACAGAGGTCTCAGAGCTCGGGGTTGTTACCCAGGGATGCCGAGGCAAGGCAGCTTCTCGAGGAGCTGCAGGAGCCAGGAGATCTGTGATCACGTGTCCCCCGCCCGCCCCAGAGCTGCTAAGCTGGGCCCAGGCCCAAAGGGCTCTGTTTTGTCCTAGGGAGTGGGAGCTTGCTGCAGAAGTGCAGGCCCCGACAGGCCCTGGGTGCTTGGGCTTGCACCCTGCTGTTTCCTGGTAGAAGCTCACAGCCCTGCCAGCCCTTCCGCATCCTCCAATCCCTGCAGGGAGGCCCAGGGCATCTCAGTCCAGACTTCTAGAGTGACTGTCAGCTGGGAGTCAAGATGCTTCTTCCTTGGGGCTTTGGTTTAAGTACAGCTCCTGAAGCAGAGAACTCTTGCTGCAAGTGGCAGATCTAGAGGTTGAGCAGCCTCCAGTGAGATCCTAGTCCTTGGAGTCCATCCTAAAGGAGGTCAGGCCTGGGTGTCCATTGGAAGGACTGATGCTGAAGCTGAAGCTCCAATACTTTGGCCACCTGATGCGAGAACTGACTCACTGGAAAAGACCCTGATGCTGGGAAAGATTGAAGGCAGGAGAAGGGGACGACAGAGGATGAGATGGTTGGATGGCACCACTGACTCAATGGACATGAGTTTGAGCAAACTCCGGGAGAGAGTGAAGGACAGGGAAGCCTGGCATTTTGTAGTCCATGGAGTCGCAAAGAGTCGGACACGCTGAGCGACTGAACTGAATTGAACTGAGTTTATAATCTTGGGCCTGTGGGCTGACCTTTTTTTTTTTTACATTTTATTCATTTATTTATTTATTTTTTTTCACAATCATAGTGTATCTTTTTTTTTTTTTTTACATATATTCCCCATCCCGGTCCCCCCTCCCACCTCCCTCTCCACCCAATCCCTCTGGGTCTTCCCAGTGCACCAGGCCCGAGCACTTGTCTCATGCACCCAACCTGGGCTGGTGAACTGTTTCACCCTAGATAATATACGTGTTTCGATGCTGTTCTCTTGAGACATCCCACCCTCGCCTTCTCCCAGAGTCCACAAGTCTGTTCTATACATAGGAGTCTCTTTTCTGTTTTGCACATAGGGTTATCGTTACCATCTTTCTAAATTCCATATATATGTGTTAGTATACTGTAATGGTCTTTATCTTTCTGGCTTACTTCGCTCTGTATAATGGGCTCCAGTTTCATCCATCTCATTAGAACTGATTCAAATGAATTCTTTTTAATGGCTGAGTAATATTCCATGGTGTATATGTACCACAGCTTCCTCATCCATTCGTCTGCTGATGGGCATCTAGGTTGCTTCCATGTCCTGGCTATTATAAACAGTGCTGTGATGAACATTGGGGTACACGTGTCTCTTTCAGATCTGGTTTCCTCGGTGTGTATGCCCAGAAGTGGGATTGCTGGGTCATATGGCAGTTCTATTTCCAGCTTTTTAAGAAATCTCCACACTGTTTTCCATAGTGGCTGTACTAATTTGCATTCCCACCAACAGTGTAAGAGGGTTCCCTTTTCTCCACACCCTCTCCAGCATTTATTGCTTGTAGACTTTTGGATAGCAGCCATCCTGACTGGTGTGTAATAATTTAACAATTTGTATGGAAATACAAAAAACCTCGAATAGCCAAAGTAATCCTGAGAAAGAAGAATGGAACTGGAGGAATCAATCTGCCTGACTTCAGACTATACTACAAAGCCACAGTCATCAAGACAGTATGGTACTGGCACAAAGACAGAAATATAGATCAATGGAACAGAATAGAAAGCCCAGAGATAAATCCACGAACCTATGGTCACCTTATCTTTGACAAAGGAGGCAAGGATATACAATGGAAAAAAGACAACCTCTTTAACAAGTGGTGCTGGGAAAACTGGTCAACCACCTGTAAAAGAATGAAACTAGAACAGTTTCTAACACCATACACAAAAATAAACTCAAAATGGATTAAAGATATAAATGTAAGACCAGAAACTATAAAACTCCTAGAGGAGAACATAGGCAAAACACTCTCCGACATAAATCACAGCAGGATCCTCTATGACCCACATCCCAGAATTTTAGAAATAAAAGCAAAAATAAACAAATGGGACCTAATGAAACTTAAAAGCTTTTGCACAACAAAGGAAACTATAAGCAAGGTGAAAAGACAGCCCTCAGATTGGGAGAAAATAATAGCAAACGCAGCAACAGACAAAGGATTAATCTCAAAAATATACAAGCAACTCCTCCAGCTCAACTCCAGAAAAATAAATGACCCAATCAAAAAATGGGCCAAAGAACTGAACAGACATTTCTCCAAGGAAGACATACAGATGGCTAACAAACACATGAAAAGATGCTCAACATCACTCATTATCAGAGAAATGCAAATCAAAACCACAATGAGGTACCATTACACACCAGTCAGGATGGCTGCTATCCAAAAGTCTACAAGCAATAAATGCTGGAGAGGGTGTGGAGAAAAGGGAACCCTCTTACACTGTTGGTGGGAATGCAAATTAGTACAGCCACTATGGAAAACAGTGTGGAGATTTCTTAAAAAGCTGGAAATAGAACTGCCATATGACCCAGCAATCCCACTTCTGGGCATACACACCGAGGAAACCAGATCTGAAAGAGACACGTGCACCCCAATGTTCATCGCAGCACTGTTTATAATAGCCAGGACATGGAAGCAACCTAGATGCCCATCAGCAGACGAATGGATGAGGAAGCTGTGGTACATATACACCATGGAATATTACTCAGCCATTAAAAAGAATTCATTTGAATCAGTTCTAATGAGATGGATGAAACTGGAGCCCATTATACAGAGCGAAGTAAGCCAGAAAGATAAAGACCATTACAGTATACTAACACATATATATGGAATTTAGAAAGATGGTAACGATAACCCTATGTGCAAAACAGAAAAAGAGACTCCTATGTATAGAACAGACTTGTGGACTCTGGGAGAAGGCGAGGGTGGGATGTTTCAAGAGAACAGCATTGAAACACGTATATTATCTAGGGTGAAACAGTTCACCAGCCCAGGTTGGGTGCATGAGACAAGTGCTCGGGCCTGGTGCACTGGGAAGACCCAGAGGGATTGGGTGGAGAGGGAGGTGGGAGGGGGGAACCGGGATGGGGAATACATGTAAAAAAAAAAAAAAGATACACTATGGTTGTGATAAAAAGAAAATAAAGAAAAAAAAAAAAAAAACAAAGCCACAGTCATCAAGACAGTATGGTACTGGCACAAAGACAGAAATATAGATCAATGGAACAGAATAGAAAGCCCAGAGATAAATCCACGAACCTATGGTCACCTTATCTTTGACAAAGGAGGCAAGGATATACAATGGAAAAAAGACAACCTCTTTAACAAGTGGTGCTGGGAAAACTGGTCAACCACCTGTAAAAGAATGAAACTAGAACACTTTCTAACACCATACACAAAAATAAACTCAAAATGGATTAAAGATATAAATGTAAGACCAGAAACTATAAAACTCCTAGAGGAGAACATAGGCAAAACACTCTCTGACATAAATCACAGCAGGATCCTCTATGACCCACATCCCAGAATTTTAGAAATAAAAGCAAAAATAAACAAATGGGACCTAATGAAACTTAAAAGCTTTTGCACAACAAAGGAAACTATAAGCAAGGTGAAAAGACAGCCCTCAGATTGGGAGAAAATAATAGCAAACGAAGCAACAGACAAAGGATTAATCTCAAAAATATACAAGCAACTCCTCCAGCTCAACTCCAGAAAAATAAATGACCCAATCAAAAAATGGGCCAAAGAACTGAACAGACATTTCTCCAAGGAAGACATACAGATGGCTAACAAACACATGAAAAGATGCTCAACATCACTCATTATCAGAGAAATGCAAATCAAAACCACAATGAGGTACCATTACACACCAGTCAGGATGGCTGGGCTGACCTCTTTAAGCCTAGCTCCTTCCTCTGTGAAACGGGGATAACAATTCCAAGCCCCAGGGTTGCTACCAGGATTAAGTAAGGGAAGTTGTGCTTTCTTACATTGTGCAATGAAGACTTTTGTACTTGGCATTAATTAAGCAAGGTGCTATGGGGAAGGTTACAGAAAGGACCTGGAGACTCACTCAGATCCAATCACAGGGTCCTAGAGAATCCAGTGCTTCTCAAACTTTCCTGTTCGAGTCAGCCAGGGATCTATAAAAGGCAGATTTTGATCCAGTGGGCCTGGGGCTGGAGCTTCAAACCTGCCTTTCTCACACGCTCTTGGGTGATCCCACACCGTCCTCCAGGGCCAGGACAAGGCACATACCTCCACTTCTGCAGGGCCCCGGCTGCTCTCCTGATGTTCCTGGCACCTCCAGCCCTTGCCAGCTCCATGCAGGCTGCTCACTCTGGTCAGATGAATCTTCCTGAAATAGAGGGGAAAATTTCTGATGTACAGCCAAGAACCATCACAGGAGCTGCTGCTTTCGTGGGAGGGGGGAGGGGAGGCACAGTCGTCTCAAGAAAGGATGGCTTTTAAGTCAGCAAAATGTCCTAGAGGCTGCTTGGCTTGTGGGAGGTGAGTCACCGAGGGCTTATTTCAAAGAAGACTGTGAGGGGGATGAGGCTTGGCAAGAAAGGAGGCTGCTCCAGAACATCACCTCCCTTGAGATGGGGGATGCTTGCTGTCAGGCTCTTCCCTAGACTCAGTCTCTCTGTTGTGAAGGGGCTTGGCAGGTGCCCGGAAGCCCTGGCTGATGGCAGTGAGGAGCGCCTGCTTGGGAAGGAGACCAGATGAAGGGCCCAGAGCCATCGCCTCCGCACCATCTCTGTGCAGCTCCAGTGTCTGTGGGGAGGAGGGGGAGGGCAAGGCCATGGCTACACAGACATACAGATAGATCTAGTCCTGCTTTGAAGAGCTGGCAGCCGTGTCCACAATGTGCCTGGGAGATGCTCTGGAGGAAAAGGGGAAAATGGGCAGAATCATTGAGGCTTGGTGAGGGGCCCCTAGCATGGAGACGGGGTGGATGCCACTGGGTTCTCTGAAGAGCCAAAAAAGACTCCAAGTTAGATCTGGTTTTTTTTTCCCCTTACTTTAATGTTTGCTTTTCGTTGCCTTTGTTGTTATAATTGTACATAATGGCCTGCCTCAGGGAACCCTGCCCTTCTGCCTGAATGTTAAAGTCCTTTGTTCAGCTCACAGGGAGACAATTTGAGCCTGCCCACCTGTGAATGGCTGCTGAAAAGAAGAAATTAATATTAATACGATCCCTCCCTGATGCCGGCCAAGCCAGGCAAAATTAACGGTCTTTTTTTTTTTTTTTTTTTTTCACTTTACTCCCTTACCTCCTTCCTCTCTCTGTTGTGGCATCCAGATTCCAAAATATGGTTTGTTCTGGGGACACTAATCTGCCATCTTCTCAGTCTTGTCTTTCCGAATAAAGTCGCTATCCCCTGCCTCGTCCTTGTCCCCCAGTTTACTGGCCTGTTGTGTGGCAAGCAGAGCCTTCTTGGGCTCAGTAACAACTCAGGTGGGAGGACTTCCTGGGTTTTCTGATAGTCATAGCATCAGCCAACAAGCAGCTCTGTGCTGGTTTCACATGGTTCTAAAGTCAAGAAATATAAAGTTGAGGTTTACTATATTGTGTTAAACTGGAGGAGTGGTGCGCTGGCAGGATCTGGAGCTGTGGTGGGGTTTTGGCCACCAGGGGTTGCATGAGGGGAGCCCTAAAGTCAGATACTAAGAGCAGATGTGGAGGAGTGTCATTTTCAAGCTGATGAATGAGAAAATGCAAACAGTAATTTCTGCACATAAACCACCTTCAAGAAGACATTGGGCCCCCTGTGAGCTTTATCCACATTTGCATAAAGTATTGCATAAAAGAGATGATTGGCATGAGCCTTGCTGGTCTGTTAGCTAAACACAGATGTGTGTTTGCAGCTGTGGTTACCCTTGTTGGACTGTCAGGAGGAAACTGTATATTGTGCATTAACGAGCAACTGATTAAATAGAGGAAGCTGGCTGTCCGTCCGTGGTGGCTCTGATTCCTCTTTGAGAGCATAGACCTGAGAGAAGGAAATGTTTTAAAACATGAGAGGGCCTGAAATTAAAAAAACCAAAAAACAACTCTCATAATATTCTTCTTTCATTTGTTTATTAATCTACTTTCAGAAAGTGAGGCAACTTATAATTAAAAACACCTGTGTAAACTGGGCAGCTTTAAATATGTCAGAAACAGCAACAACTAGAGAGGAAATAGAAAGTTCTGCCCAGAACCTAAGGCAAACGGCATTAGGCACCAAATGTAGGTCTGATGCTCTCTCATCTTGCTTTCCTCACTTTCCTATATAAGAAACTCTGAAGACATTGCATTTCCCACGACTCTCATCAAAGGAGTTATGAAACTGTTACAGTGAAGAGCCAATTCCATGTTGGATCTGTTTATTTGACTTTAAACTTTACATTTCATTGCTTTTGTTATTATAATCATACATAGTGGCCTGCCTCGGAGAACCCTGCCCCTCTGTCTGACTGTTAAACTAATGTGCCTTTGTTCAGCTCCCAGGGAGATAATCTGACCCTGCCCACCTGTGAATGGTGGCAAGAAAGAAGAAACTAACACATCCCTCCCTGGAGGCTGGTCATTTCAGGAGGTGTTTTGCAAGACTGATTGCCCTTTTTACTTTACTTCATCACAGTCTCTCCCTCTCTATTCTGCCTTTTTTACTTAACTTCCTCATCATTTCTCTTTCTGGTTCTATAAAAGAACCTGGCATCCAGGCCGAACAAGATGGTTATTTTGAGACATTAGTCTGCCATCTTCTTGGTCAGCTGGCTTTCTGAATAAAGTCACATTCCTTGCCTCAGCACATTGTCTCCTATTTTACTGGCCTGTTGTGCAGTGAGCAGAGCAAGCTTGGACTTGGTAACAAAATATTTCCCCAGGAACTCAAAGCTGAAGCCTGCGTCAGCCTTCAGCAGCTTTCAGAGCCCAGAGAACACTCAGGACCATGTTTTTGGTCCTGTGGCCTCTGCTCAGTTTGGAAGGTTACTGCTCACTCCCCATGTTTGTCCTGGACCCCACGCCTTGAGACGGTGTACGTCTGGGCCTCAGTTCACAGGGTTGGTGTCCAGTGGAGAGTCAGGCTTGGTAAGTATGGTGAGGCCAGGTCCTGAGGACTGGCTCTCAGCTTGTATGCCCACCTGGCCAGATTTCCCTCTGAACAACCTTCTGAATTGGGGGTGTGGGACCAGCAGGGCCAGGAGAAGTCAAGAGTGGGAGAAACAGGAGCTGGAGAGCGGGCAGGGCCAGGAAGTGACCTGCTAAGAGTTGATCCTCACACTCACGCAGCACTGGGCCTGCAATTACTGTGCTGGGTGACAGGACTGAACACAACACATCACATGTGGAGCTTGGCATTGGGTCATGGCTGGGGTTAAAGGGGCAGGTCCACCCTATTAGCTCCTTTCCCATCTGGTCTTGGTCACTCCCCACTCCTGCTTTCTGAGCTCCAGTCATATTGTAGATCTTTCAGTTCTGGGAAAGGGCTTCATGCTTTCCCGTATCTGGGCTTTCCCAAGACAGTTTTCCCTCCCGTGAATATAAACCCACATCCTTCACTGGGTTGCTGCCCACTTCTGCAGGGAGAAGTCTCTGATGCCTCACCCTGGGGGCAGACTCTCCATGGCACACTGCAGTTCCCCTTTGCAATATTCACTACCCTTGTAATCACATGGATGGAGTGGATACTTCCTATTTTTGTGCCCCAGCAGTCTATTTTGTTTGTATGGCTATAGTATTCTTGTTTAATTTGGGGAGTACCACCTCTCCTTCACTCTGAACCTGTGTTTTGGGAAAAATTGACCCTGGGCCCAAGAGTGGAACATGTGACCTAGGCTAGACCAATCAGTATAGTCCATCCCTGTGGGCTTCAGTGATTGGTTTAGAAATGGGCAGGTGATCCAGTTAAGCCAATCAAGGCTAAGGGCACTCAACCTCTGGATATCTGGATTTGCAGGAAGCACTGATTCACTTCCACTAACCTGAATCAGTGATGATATGAACCTGAGTGTTCCTAGACAACCATGAGTGAGGACTGAACCAACCCAGAGGGAAAAGAGCCAAGAGATATCTCCTAGTGACATTGCTGAAGCTTTGAATTGAGCTGTATCTAAAGTCAACTCTATGTTTTCGTATTTCAGTTGTTGTTCAGTTGCTAAGTTGTGTCCAACTCTGCGACCCCATGTCCTTCACTATCTCCCTGAGTTTTCTCAAACTCATGTCCATTGAGTCAGTGATGCCATCTAACTTTCTCATCCTCTGTTACCCCCTTCTTTCCTGCCATCAACCTTCCCCAGCATCAGGGTCTTTTCCAATGAGCTGGTTCTTCACATCATGTGGCCAAAATATTAGAGCTTCAGCTTCAGCATCTGTCCTTCTAATGAATATTCAGGATTGATATCCTTTAGGATTGACTGGTTGGATCTCCTTGCAGTCCAAGGGACTCTCAAGAGTCTTCTCCAACACCACAGTTTGAAAGTGTCAATTCTTTGTCTCTCAGCCTTCTTTATGGTTCAACTCTTACATCCATACATGCCTACTGGAAAAACCATAACTTTGACTACACAGACCTTTTAAAATAGAGACTCTTTGTGTTGGATATTCTGTCAGTTGCAATTGACATCACCTAAATAATAAGCCTTGGTCTAAGTTGTCTTCCTTTTGCAGTGAGCACAGGCATTATATCTGTGTCCTGGGGCCTGGCTTAGCACCTGGTCAATAGGAATGGTCAACAAATCAATCAACCAATGAAGAGATGGGTCTCAAGAGCTCCCCTAATCTTGCCCCTTTCTTCCTTTCAGACCTAGAAACGAGGCAAAGGTTGTAGTTCTTTCTGGGTGATGAACTTGTTAAAGAATCCCACTGGAACCAATTTTCTTTAGAGCTGAGAACTTCAACTGCAAGAAAGCAGCCACAAGTCATGACTAAAGGATTGCTGGGAAAGACCTGTTGCTCAGATTTTCTGAGTGTCTATAGTTTTACTATTAGCAGGATTTCTTTGGCTTACAGTTATGAGAACTCTTAGGAGTTCTCTGTAAATATATATCTATATCTGCTTTTATGAGCATAAAGTATCTGAAGAGATAAACAAGAAGCTAAAAAAAAAAAAGGTTACCTTCAGAGAGTTGAGAATTGGCACAGTGGAAGGCAGGTGGGTGCAGAAATGAGAATTTTTATATTGTTTAAATTTTGGGCCATTTGAATGTGTTACCTTAAAAAAAAATTAAGTTAAAGGGAGAATATCCATGACAGTGCAGAACCACTAGAAGCCATTATCAGCACTTAACAGCTGGAGAGAGGGGCATTTATTTACCACTGAGTAGGAAAGGCTTGGCTCCACCAGCGTCATCAACCAGAAGGTCTATACAGGGTCTCTTTGGCATGTGGATAGATCTTAGATTAGTTGGACTTTTATTTGATGGATTGTTTACATGACCTGGCTGCTCAAAATATGGTCCACAGACCAGCACTACAGGCATCACCTGAAAGCTTCTTACAAATGCAGAATCTGACCAGAATTTCCATTTTTAATAATCTGTAGGAAGTACTGCATACTAGTAAGTGTACAGATATCTCTACAAAGATATTGCCTGAGCACTGTCTTTAACAGAAAAATGATGAAACAGAAATCTCCATAAACAGAAAAACAGTTAAATGTTAGAACATCCATAACCATGGAATATCACAGAGCCATTATAAATGAGATAAATCTATGCATACTGGTCTGGAAAGATATCTTCAGTTCAGTTCA